CTCATAACAACAAGTAGAAGCCAGGCGGAACGAATAGTAGCCTAGTTTGACACTGCTTTTGAAAAGACGGGTCTCAAAATTGGATGAAGATTCAAGAAGATTGGACGAAATCCCACAAAAACGATATTCTTGAAGAACGGAATGGTTTCGAGTGCTAAATTCACCCTCGATGGAACGAATATCTTTTAATGGTCCAGTTACATCTATCTGGGTTGAGAACTCAGCAAGGTGAACAACTTAGCTCTAGAGTTTAGCAAAAAGAAGCCAACGGCTTGGGGAATCCTTAAGAGCATCGACAATATAGGGAGAGAACGAAGAATACCAGACTTCATGCCCACCTTTTTGACTCCACCCTTGTTCCTGCCTTGAAATGTGCGTCAGAAACCTGGTCGCTACGCAGGCAGGATGAGTGATCGCTCAGCGTTTTGTAGAGCATACAGTTGAAAGGACGACGTTAGGAGTATCCCGTACCTCAAGCGAGTGAAGAGATCTGAAGCTCCGACCTAGGGCAACAATCAAAGGTCGATGAGCCGTCCAATACGCTAAACTGCGGAGGATAAGATGTGGAGGACACGTAACGCGAATTAACGATAGCCGATGGATAAGAACCGTTAACGGCTGGATTCTTCAGGTTGTCAAACGCACAACGGGAAGAGGACGGCCGACCCGGTGGTCAGAGCTCTTCGCGAAAATTCTAGAGGAAAGACATGCTGCTCAACAAGTTTCTGTGAGCAGAACCAAGTGGGCTACTCTTACACGTGACAGGATGAAATGGAAGATTTACTGGCGGTAGCTGGAGGCATCTGACAATGAACGGTACGACAGGTAATACAGGTGATCGGTCCACACTTTATCCTCCGCCGACCATCTCAAGATATGCCATGTAGCCTTGTGGCTAACCAGGTCTAGAGAGATATGAGATAACTTCGAGTAGAAGATGATTACGAGCTACAGCTGTTTTGCGTAATAGATGGTTATAAAATTGGTTATAAAATTATGTAAGAATCCCGAAATATACCGAATATGTTTCGCAAACTGTCTTAAAGATGTTTACATCACTGTGACTTTATTGCGAACAAGTTCATTTTCCATCACATGCAACAATTAAATGAAAAAGATAGAACGATAAGACGTTTGGAGTTAACCAATACTCCTGAGGGATGCACAATGAATTGTATCCCATTCGCAACATCGTGGAGATGGTTGCATGAGTATTTCGACTAAACGAAGTTGTTCGAGACTATCGATGGTGTTCTATTCCTCTCAGAAAAGCATGGAAGAAATTTACAGGCTTTGACGGAAGTAAGAGTTTGGTTTTTGGGGGTGCGGATCCCTAACCACTGCGGTGCCCAATGCTAAACATCTTAGAGGTATGAGGAATTGAACTTCAGCCCTCTCTCATGATGTGAGAGTGCTTTGCCCTCGGCTACACTTACTTAGATACTTGGACGGCGCGAGTTCACGAGTTATGCAGGCTCAAGCACACTCCCATTTGTTTCTTTGCCTCGCAATCGTCGTCCATGGTAACGGTTTGATTCGAGATGGTAGCAGGTGCGAGATTCATGCCGTAATCTGCAATACAACGGCACCTGGGAGTACAGCTGCCGTTGACAGTGCTTCATTTGATAGTTGGATATGCTGCAAGAACATGAAAATATAGGCAGGTGAAAATACGTAAAACACAAAAGTCTAAAAAAGAAACGAGTGGGAAAACGTCTGTGGAAAGGCGAATTATGAAGTGAAAATGAGCTCTAAAAGCTTGGCGGTTCATCCTTTGTGTGCATGACTATTTATTGTTTCTTAATCTGTAAATTCCTTTTTCTTAAGCAGGGACGGGAAAGCAATAAGCCTTTCCTTATAACCTGAGAGCTGGTCTGCTTGTATAGCAACAATTATGAGTGGTTTGATAGTAACAATTATGGTTCTCCGGTTATGGTGCCGTGTTCGATTTCCACTTATCTGAATCTCTGAGTCAACCCTCCATTGATGTCGAAAGAGGAGTTAGGCAAAGAGATATCATCTCGCCAAAGTTATTTATCACCACCCTCCAAAATGTCATGCGAACATTGGATTGGGATAATATGGGAGTGAAAATTGATGGTCGGCAGTTACATCATCTTCGCTTTGCTGATGACATCGTCCTTATAACACCAAACATTAGCCAGGCGGAACGTATGCTTGACGACTTTGATAAAGCCTGTGGAAAGATTGGTCTTCGACTAAATCCACAAAAACGTTGTTCATGAAGAACGGATTGGTTTCGTATGCCTCATTTACCCTCAACGGAAGAAATGTCTTCGAATGCCCCAGCTATATCTATCTAGGTCGGCAAATCAATGTGATGAACGACCTAGCTCCACAGCTAAGCAGAAGGAAACGAGCGGCTTGGGAGCATTGAAGAGCATCGAGGATATAGTAAAGAGGAGAAAGAACACCCGACTCCATGCCCACTTTTCCGACTCAACGGTACTTCCTGCCCTAACGTGTGTGTCAAAAACCTGGTCGCTGCATAAGCAGGATGAAAGGTCACTCAGCGTTATCGAACGCGCAGGAAAGGAAAGGACGATGCCAAGAATAACCCGTTCCACACAAGTGTGGGGTGGGATCCGAAGCTCCGATCTGCGTCAACGATCAAAAATCAAAGATGCCGTTCTGTACACCAAGCAGTCGAAGATAAGGTGGGCCGGACACGTAATTCGTATGAATTACAACCGATGGACAAGAGCCGTTAGTGACTGGATTCCTCGGGATGTCAAACGTGCTACAGGAAGACCACCGACTCGGTGGTCAGAGTTCTTTACGAAAAACCTAGAACAAAGATATGATGCTCAACGAGTCCCTAGGGCGAGCAGAACCCACTGGGCTACCCTTGCATGCGACATGGAAAATGGAAGATTTACTGGCGCCCGCTGGAGTCACTCTACGATCAACGGAACTGCATGTGATAGTAACAATTATGGTTCTCCGGTCATGGTGCCGTCTTCGATTTCCACTTATCTGAATCTCTGAGTCAACCCTCCTATAATCAGTCCTTGGTCTTGTTAAGTGGTGATTGCTCATAGCACAGCTGGAGTAAGAACTGGCTGAGTGAAAAGCAAAGAAAAGGTCGCGGTCTGTGTAGTGCATAGCACATGAGCTCCCGGAAGGGGTAATTCCTGGTTCTAAGACCACCTGAGGTCCCGAGTTTTGCTATTTTGGCATCCTTCTGATTGTGTTTCACATAATACCTTGCTATGAAAAGTGGATAGGCAGTAAATGGGAAGTTAAAACTGGCTCAGTTGAATGCAGTAATTTAAGACATGACCTGGAAAGTGTTATTCATGCTTCCCATCGAGTGTAACGTTACGTGAGTTCTAGAAATGACATCGTCGAAGCGACCGTTACAGTCTCGCTTTTAGATGTTCGATTGGCGATACACCGCGCAGAGGGAACGAAAAACGGCCAAGCAATCATTCCAGAGCAAGGTAGGGTAACCATTCAGACACTTAGAAACACAAAAAATCAGAATCTGTTTAAGATGTTTAACTGTCTAGAGCGACCGACTGGATGGCGTTGTTTTATATATCATTTTAGGTGAGTTAGTGAATATTTGAAGAAGTTGTGCGGATTTACTTTCGTTAATCATTTCACTCTGAGTTGATTGTTCAGTTGATCGACTGCTCAAAAAGATAAAAACGCACACAAGCACACATGCACCTTGTCTGTATAAAGCATATATATCTTTTGTCACAGCACTTATTGTCCTGTAGCTCGAACGTGCTCCACCCTAGTTGTCAGCTGCCTCGGTCCCGTGCTAGAGTAGCCCATTGAGCTGTTTTTTCTAACCGATCAAAAGACATTTTCCTTCGATGATGCTGAAATTTCGTAAGGAAGTCTACTCATCTGGATGATAGTGCCCTGAAAATCCTGTAGACCCACATAGCAGTGGCTCTCTTCTATACCTATGTGGCCTTGGTGATCATAGCAAACCCAAATAGCCTTTTATTTTGTTTACCCCATTTAATTTGCAAGATCCAATGTGCATTTTTTCACATATTTTTCCGTGGTGGGGAGATCTTGTTAATCAATTAATCATTAATCAGGAGATTGTAAAATGTGAGATTTTCTCCGTTGAACGTTCCCAGGCAGAAAATCGTTGCTCGCAACAGCTGCATTTGAACACAACCACACACAAATCCATCTAAGAGATATGGTTTATGTTTTTTTCAAAGACAAAGCTTTCGATGTTTTCAAAATGTTTGCTCTTATATTTCGAAACCGACTTTCCTTTAGCCTCGGTATGACTAGTCGATATCTATTCTTTCTTTGATGAGCTTCCATGAGGTTAATAAACATATTTATTTTCGGCTAACGTTTGGACGTCTTAGTCTTCATTAGAGTTAATGATCCAAATCGAAAGTCGGATTTTATACAACATCCCGTATAAAAGGTCATCAATGAGTGAGTATCTCTCATTCGAGGAAATAACCTGCTGAGGAGGACCTGACTCGACACGAAAAAACCCCTCCGGGTTGTAAGAGGTTTCAGTAAACTGGTTGCTAAAAAGCGAAAAATTTTGGGCTCTCGAGTGCTTTAAGAAAACGCTTTTCTGAAGTCATCGAAATCCCTGTAGGGATCGAGATGTAATAACACTTCTTTCATGGAAATTGCGAGTTCACTGAATCCATCAAATCAAAGTGAAGTAATCCTTTTTATGCAACATGCTTGAGGAGAAATAAAGTGTACGAAGCTCCCGCCAACTAGCTGCTTGTGATGTCGGCAAAATTTCAAACGAATTTTTAAGTCTTTGATCTGTTTATTCCTAACTTTCCACTCTTTCCCATTGTTCATTTTTCTAATTCACGTGCAGGTTTTGCTATGTAGCTCGTCGGCAGTAAAAATACATCATTTACAAAAGGCATACATTATTCTGTCCAAGGAGTTCTCCGGATTGCAGCGTCTTCGTCGCGGTGCTGCTATGTCTGATTCTAAGCGTTCTGTCGACGGTCGAGCACCATAGCATGCTTGCCGGCAAGATGCTGTTCATTCTGGTGAGAGTGGGTCTGCCTCCGACAGTCCTCGATAATTGGCCGTTAAGTTGTTATTGCTTCAGGAAATAGTACTGGTTATATTCTTCGCGATCGAGTACTGCGTACGATTATGGGCGGCCGGCTGTCGTTCGAAATACCGCGGGTTTTGGGGTCGGTTGAGGTTCGCCAGAAAGCCGATCACATTCATTGGTGAGTAAAGGCCTGATAAGCATAAGGAAGAAGCCAGCCAGAATCAGATTGGCATAGACTTTAAGCTGCCGGATTGCAGATGCCTTATAGGTCTAGTTCTAGGTATATTTAAGTTTATTTGTTTCATTTTTTGAACTTTAGACTATTTCAGATCTCTGTGTGGTTGTTGCTAGTATCACCATAATTCTTTTTGGAAGTGAAGGTCAAGTGTTCGCCGCCAGTGCAATACGGTTTGTCCCTTATGAAGGTAATGACTGTTTTACTGAATTGCCCAATTTCTTTAGAGGAGTGAGGTTTCTGCAAATCCTCAGGATGCTGCACGTCGATCGACAGGGCGGCACCTGGTGAGCTGAGATCTTAGATTTCCTATTTTGTCATGATCACGTCATCCCAAGGCTTTGCATCGAATTATTTATTGAAACTCGGTTCCAATTTCATAGTAGAAAGCTGCGAAATTTTTTATTTACTTTTACGGCGATGTTTATGGCAAATTGTATGTTAGTTCCGACATACTGCAGTTTTACAGTAGTACACTACGTATCAAATTTCTTCCTTGATGAATCAGTTATTGAACTCGGTTTTTTACGATATCGGCGATAATTTCATCAACCAAGAATCAAGAGTGCAACATAAAAAATAAAAGGGATAAAGCTCTCGGTGTTGATCAATCCCTGAGGGGATGCACCATGCATTCGACTTCATTAAGCATCCTTTGAGGTGATTGAATGTATATATGGCCTTTACAATGACTAGCGGTAGCCTACAGATGTATCGGGCCAGTGCTGCTATCCTCCCAGATAAGTCTGGTATTTAAGATCTGACCAATTTGTCGATCCCGGAGGGATGGAGGGCTTGGTGCGACGTGGGCGCGGCCGTCGATTCCACATGTGTGTTGCAAGGCGCCTCTGACCACTGTGCCACATGCGCCGCTTAGAGTGGAATGTAGTCCACAAAATAGCCTGTCTTTCTTCAGAAACGTCAACCTCTACAGTCAGTTTCGTTCCCAGCTCTGATTAAATGCACTGAAAAGTAGACATTAAAAGGCAAACACTTGCGATCTCCAGCGATTTGAAGGACATTTCCTCGAATTAAAAACGGAGTGCATGCTATTATCCGCGATTAATTGGAAAAAAGTCGTTATCTTCTAAGAAAATAATGATAACGCTGTTTTGCACTGGGCCGATATCTATAACGAATTCGTTGGTTTCAGAAAGACTGCCATTCTGTTTTGCAATTCTAAAAGTTATGACTTTGTAATAGTTCCCAGGATCGACTTTCTCTTAACCTCGGCATTGGAATATGAATGCCTCGTTTTCTTGTTCAGCAATCGCGAGGTTTTTAAACAGCATACATTTACTTCCATAGAGAAACACAATACAATACAACACTGGCTGACGTTTCGGCAGTATCGCCTTCTTCAGAGCCTGGAAGGGTATACTGATATACAATCTACTAGGCCAAACGCTTCAATAACACTTACAGAAAGACGAAAGACTCTTTGGTAATTACACGATCAACAAGTTCTCGAAAAAACCCACCGCTTTTTTGTGACTTCCAATAAGGAAGTTTAGAACAGCTGATTATAGTCGCATGTGGTTGACGACTGCACCATCCCACATCAAAAATCGATACGAACGTACGGGATCAGGTCGCGTATGACCTCCGGGCATTCATCCCTGCTATTCATTGTAGGGTTATGACTTTGAAATACAGAATCTCACTTCTAATTTAGTCGCCTTATTTGGAACAAGTTTCTCAACAGCTTACCTTCTCATCGTGGCTGGAGCTCCCGGGTGTCAAATTGCAATGTACAGCAGAGGAATTCATCACCCGAGCAGGCTCTCCCAAGCTGAAAAGAAGTCCGGCATTTCTATCAGGAATCTCTAAGATTAAATCAACCACGATGCACTACCGTTTTGGTATCAATTTAGTCGCGTAGTGACAAATCTCCCTCTGATCCATAAAGTCGACGACTGCCTGTGGTGGTGACGACCTCGGGCAGACTTTGGCCTGAGTGAGCACGGGACCCCAGGTAACCACAAGAGCTAAATCAGAATAACACCGAAAAAATGGAGATTATGCTGCGGCAGGCACAACCAGTGAGGACGGGCAATCTAAGTAACCAAGTAAGTAAGTATTTGGAACAAAACTATGTGGTTTTTCTCTTCAGTTTTTCGTTATGAGCTCCTTAACATGAGCCAATAACTTCTAGTACGATAGGCGTCCCTGAGTCCCACTAACTACAGGACCATCCACTTCGCCAAAAATGTTCCGCAACAATTGGCGACCGCTCAGTTTTTAGATAATAGTTTCGAAATTTGTGGATTTCTCAATGAAGCTAGCGCTTATACACATCAATTACCATCCAACGTTGTCAGTTGTACTGTTTTAAAGGAAGTTTACTACGTAGTTGTTTCAACACATTACAACAACGTTCAACTGTATGTTGATATATTTATTTATGTGATCTTATAAACTGATCTTCTTAAGCTGACGCGAGGTTGGTACAAGTCTTCCTTGTCGTTGTCGTTGTTTTTGATGTTATTGATCGATGGCTGACGTTTCGGCGACTTCGCCTTCCTGAGAGCCTGGACGTACTTTATGTTAGAATACATTTACTATTCGGTGGAAAAGAAGGTTCGAAGTCGCCGAGACGTCAGCCATCGATCAATAACATCAAAAACAACGACAACGACAACGAAGACCTGTACCAACCTCGCGTCAGCTTGAGAAGATCGGTTTATAAGATCACATAAATAAATATATCAATTATCTATGCTGAGGTTTATAGAAAGTCGGTCTTTCGAGTTCCACTGCATGTCGGAATTGTCATTTAGTCACGAATGCAGAGGTCACAGTAGAATTAGTTTGTTTTGGAGGGGAAATTGGTACAAGATTTGCCTGGTAAGATAAAAGTACTGACTTAATGAACTGTTAATCCACTGCTGGTCATTTTACAGGCCAGATGTGCATCCATTCACCTCCAAACGATGCCTCATGAAATCGAATACATGGTGCATTCCTCAGGGATTGATCAAGGCCGAACGCCTTATCCTCTAAATTATCCACTTGTATTCATTACTTTGTGATTTCGATTAGCTTATAGTTCATTACGGTGGTCTGGCTTGCCGGCCGACTTCTTCAAGACTTGATTATGTAGGAGATTGACATATTGAGCAATTTGTATGCCAGAAGTCCGAGTTTTGTGAAATTTATATTGAACAAGAGATAATGAATGGTTCAAAATTAATAGCGTCTTAAAATTCTTGAAGGAAGTGAGAAACGTGACGGCTAGATCCCACTCTAAGGTGGTTTGACGTTACCCATTCACTTCTTAGATGGAATCCCATACACCATCCCATTCCTCTTGCGAATTGTACCATGCTACGAAAAGTGCGCTCTTCTTCACAGCTCTTCCTTTTACAGTCTAGTTATTGACTGAAACTCTTAAAATTTCTCAAAAATCTAGACAAAGAAAGACAACGGCTGTTCCCTAGCAATGTATCGAATTCCATCGAAGAGGCTATCCACTTTCTCATTGAGAGAATGCACGATCACAGGTTTGGGAATACAGAATAGATCGAGTTAGCTAACAAAGTCTATTTACTTTTTAAGTAGTTGACCTACTTTATAAAATCCTCAGATTGGGTTGAAAGTAGCACTTCATTGTCGGAGGAATTTTACGAATTCAGAATGAACTTGCACTAGGCTTGTTGATGAGAATGAAGAAGTTCAAACAGCGTTCCACTCTAATAGCAAATTGACAAGAATCTGGATTTTTGCCTGTTTTTCATGTTCTTTCGTAAAGCTTTTATGAGGAAAACTTCGCAAAATATTCCACATGATGGAGTGAGTGCTAAAATCGCCTAGCCACAAAAGAACCAATGGCAGTAGTTCTATTGAACTTTGGAATCGCATCACCATTTCGAGAAGAACTGGCTTTGAAACCGAAGAGAAGACCATGCATTCATGTCATTTAGGATTTCGTTTTGCTTAACCAGTGCATCGTCATTTATTCACATTCTAAATGCGGTCCATTCGGTTGTGTTGAACTAAAATTCAGGAGACTGCTCGGCTCGGTGATTTTCATCCATCGTCAGGAGCTGATAACGACGCTGTACATCGGGTTTCTTGGCCTCATCTTCTCATCGTATTTCGTTTACTTGGCTGAAAAGGACCACATTACCCCTGATGGAAAACAAGTCTTCACCACCTATGCCGACGCCCTGTGGTGGGGAGTGGTATGTGCATTTTTTCTCTCATTGTGAAGTTTTTCCAAATGAAACAAAAAGACCCATCGATCGAAGTACATTTACCAATTGTTCTGATTTCGAGAGAAAAAAGATGATGAATAAAATGATGCATATCGATTGTCAATCAATCCGATCCTACGGTACGGAACGGTACGCAGTCGTAACTAGACGTATCGCACATCCTATCGTGTCCTAAATAAGCAGCTATTAAATGCGTTACGGGCTGTAGGTCATGAACTAGGAACAGATGATCCTTTATGTTCACACAAGAGTATCAAATACTTACAAAGGCAAAGTATTAAAATTCCAACTTGTTAATGGTATAATGTTATGGTATAATGCAATGAATCTCCACTTGTGTGCATACATTCCGTGTTTCGGTCCTGCACAAAGGTATGGGATTCCATATGTCGTCCAGGCTTGACAATTTCAGATTAATCCGCACATGTATAACAAGGCATTACCTTATCGGTCAACCAGTCTCTCATCTTACGGAAAAAATCCACATTCATTGCTTTCTCCCGAATATGAGAGAGTGTGAGAGACTGACCGTCACCAACTTTTTTTCATTTCGGAACATGACGTGCACCATTTTCACAAATACTTTGCTGACCATTGTACCTACTGTTCATCTTTCATATATCCTTAGTTTTGTAGTTTTAAAGGCAAAAAAATTAGTGGCTAGAGATAAAATGACACCTTGATAATCAAGAAACTCGGATGGGTCAGAAACACGGTCATTACAATGAACGTTTGGTTCAGCTGTAAACGGCATCTGTGTATCTGGCTGTCGTCACTTGGGCACACTTCTATGGCCTACACAGTCCTTTGTTTCCATTGTTTTAATAGAGTAGTATTCATGGGTTTGAGTTTTGCAAAAATATCAGCGTTATTATCGTTGTATTTTACATAAAACCCTGTCATGACAAAAATAATACGTAGTAGACAATCATTGTGTCAAGAATGTTTCTTAACGTTCTGTTTTACCTTACTACTGAGGCCACGTCGTAAGCATACCTTAAAGTCAGGGTCATTTCAAACAATATCGGCCGCTGTACCGCTCTACCACTTATTCAGGATTCGGAGAATTGGCAAATAGCTACATTAGAATGTTACCATCCTTATTATGCTCTTTGCCGATATTGAAATCGAAGAAATTGTGTAGGGACTAACGATTCCTTTTCGTTTATGCCATAGCATTCAGTGTTTTCGATGTAATTTCACACTGTCCATCCACTGGACGAAAATTAAATGTTTTATGGAGAAACTGAAAGGTGATTCGCTTGCCCGGATCTATCCTTTTTAATTTCAGATCACGATGACCACCATTGGTTACGGTGACGTGGTGCCGCAAACGTGGCTCGGTCGTATCATCGCCTCCTGCTTCTCAATATTCGCCATCAGCTTCTTCGCTCTACCTGCTGTACGATTTTTCCTTTTCTTTGATTAACCACGTATATTAACTTCTAGTCTGGCAAGTTGAACTTTCTCTATCCAGAAAATCGTACCATTGTGTGGTTGATTTGGTGGACATTATAGCGTCGCCGTTAATTGCTCACCACGATTTTGACATCCACGTTGGTTGTTTGCTGAACATGGGACCAACTATTCGACAATGAAAAAACTTGCAAAAAAATGACAGCGACCAGATAATGAGACTGTTTTTCGTGCATTTGTTGAACCCCACTATGTATCCTTGTTCGATTGATTCCTGATGTCTAACACCCATTCACAAGAGTGCGTAATCATTTTCATTCCCTGTTGTTTCAAGTACACAACTAGTTTCGGTTTGATCACGTACGACCTGAGATTTTCTCAGTTTCTGTGATTGGTTTAAAAATTGGTTTGATTCTCGCGCATTCTCACTGCTCAACTTTACCCGGACCCTGATGGCTGTATCCGAAGTAAGGATGTCCTCGCGTTCATGTGAACTGCCTAACGGATAAAACCAACAAATTTCCATATATCCTTGCTTTTCTACATCTCAACCTCGCTTCCACCTGCCATGATTTAGGGTATTCTCGGTTCGGGATTCGCTCTGAAAGTACAGCAAAAGCAGCGTCAGAAGCACTTTAATCGTCAGATTCCAGCAGCCGCCACGTTGATTCAATGTCTCTGGAGATGCCATGCTGCCGACAAGAACATCGCCGCCACGTGGTTCATTTTCAGTGACTTTTTTCTTAATTACAGTTGCTCGTCCATCTACTAAAAGAGCGAAAACAAGACTTTTCGATATGCAGAAGCATTACAACGTTTTTCTCCCACTTTTTCGGCAAAGGAATTTGTACAATAAGACCAACAAGCTTTGTAAAAATAGGATTCTTCAGACCAGAATCATTACAACAGAGTTTTAAACAGTAAATATTGTTTATTTTAACCAAATTACTTCACTAAGAACTGTGAGATATACGAGACATCGGGAAACGCAAATTTCTTGGGGTGATGATGGGAATTCCATTAGCACTCTCCTCTCAACTCTTTGAGCAACATAATACACCCGTACAAAGGACACTTACTTGGATATTTGGATGGCTTGTCCTCATTGGTTGCCCGGGCCCCAACATAACCTCCATTTCTTCTGAGATTTCCTGATTTAGCCACTGTGGCTCCCTGGAGTCCCAGGGTCAGCCAGGCCAAAGTCTGCTCCACGTCGTCACCACAGCAAGCAGTCGCCGCCCATAGGGATCAAAAGGAGATGTGCCACCATGCGACTAGTTTAATACCAAGACGGTGCTGAATCCTGCTATTGGTTTACTCTTAGATGGGCTTCCTGATAGAAACGCCGGACTTAATTCTCAGCTTGGGAGACCCTGCTGGGCGGATGAATCTCCTCGCTGTGCATTGCAACCTAGCACCCAGGAGCACCTTCCAGTCGTGATGAGGCAGTAAACCGTTGGGATAGTTCCCGGGATCGACTTTCTATTAACCCCGGCATTGGAATATGAATGCGTCGTTTTCTTGTTCAGCAATCGCGAGGTTTTTAAACAGCATACATTTACTTCCATAGAAAAACACAATTCAATACAACAGTAGCTGACGTATCGGCAGTATTGCTTTCTTCAGAGCTTTGAAGGGTATACTGATATACAATCCATTAGGCCAAACGCTTCAATAACACTTACAAAAAGACAAAAAACTTTATGGTAATTACATGATCAAGAGCTTCTCGAAGAACTCACCGCTTTTTACGTGACTTCCAATGAGGAAGTTTAGAACAGCTGATTACAGTCTCATACGGTTGATGACTGCACCATCCAACATCAGAATTTGATGCGAACATACGGGGCCAGGTCGCCTGTGACCTCAGGGTATTCCTCCCTGATAATCATTGTAGGATTTTTGGCGTTTATCCAAAAAGCCTCAAAAAGCTTTCGCTCTGGTGTTTTGGACTCCTGTGCAACGATATTGACTTTCACTTCAAAATCGTCTCCGCTATGTTTTTGTATTCCATGCGTGTCTAGTGGGGTACCTCGTCTTGCTTTTCGTTTGCCATCTAGGTGTTCTTTTATACGGATACACAAAGGTCTGCCCGTTTCGCCAATATGTTCATCTCCGCAATTATTAAAAGAGATCGGCTACATCGTATCTGAACTCATGAAATCACCGTCCCTGCCGTAAGGGCAAATTACGCAGTTTGGTGTTTCACAACGGTCATACAGGCGGTTACGAAAACTAACTGACGACGTAGAGTATCGGGTGGTATTTCAAATATCGCTACCGATTCCTCCAGATCTGCCCTTCTTAAGCATCGCTTTGTCGCTACACTTATTTTATTGCTAATAAAGGACAAGATGAACGGGATTTTGTTTTGGCCAAACCTTTCGTTTTGGGGCGTCGCTCTTCTTCCAAACTTATCTCGTGGGGTTACTATTTCGTAGCCATTGGAGATGGCTATTTGCCAAGCCAAGTCGCGCGATTCTTCCTTTAGTTCTCTGGTTGTGCACACAGAGGTGGCTGTTCGAAACATGTTTCTCACAAGCGCCATCTTTGTGTGTGAACGGTGGGAAGAAAGGAAATGAACGAGAATGTTCTTGTTACTTGGCTTTCGATACCACTTTGTCAAGTAACCGCTACTTGACAGGTTTATTTGAACGTCCAAAAGCGGAAGCCAGTTTTTTCTCGGTTTTTCCCGGGTGAACTTTATGTACTCGGACTGCTCGTTCATTAATTCAAATAATTCAAAGCATTTGTCCATCTCCTCCTGCGTAGAGAAGACGATAAAACAATCATCTACATGTCTGCAGGAGAGAGGCCGGAGATCGAGAACAGGGGCTTTTATCTTAGACATAAACACTAACAAATAATAATAAATAGTACTGATAAAACCACTTCTACGAACTTCTGCACTACCATTTTTCTAAAAAGAGGTTTTCTTAACTGAATACATACGGGTGATATGTAAAAGAAACTCATTCCGAACCGTCTGAAATGGGAAGGTTCCGGCTTAACATTTCCCCATTTCACGCTTATAATCAACTTGATTTCCATGGGTCGTGTTTTGAAAAAATTTCTCGCAACCTGACTAACTTTGATGAAACGAAGTCCATAAATTAGCCTACTTCTCAACAGATGCTCCAACTCGCCTATAACTTCTCTACGTATGGAGATTACACATATATGTATGCATGTATATACTACAGATATGTAGCCAAGGGCTCCTGTAACGCAGTATTTAGAGGCGCTCTGCAATGCACACATGGTCGTTGGCTTGGTTGGTCACTGACCCTGGGCTCGCTAAAACATCTATCCCACCGAGATCGGCGAATTGGTATCAGTCTTTTCTAGGAGAATAGCACCACTAGCGTTATATGTTTAGGCCTTCGCAAGTTACATAGGTTAGGTGTATACTCAATCACCTGTAACGTTGCTTAGTGAATCCATATGCATGACACATCCTTCAAGGATTGATCAACACCGGGCGCTTTATCCATCATTCTAGCAGCCAAACACTAATGATCACGAACTTTTAATGAAGAATGTGCGAGACAAGCTGAGAAGCGTCAAATTACAATTTGGAGCGCACCCCTCCGCGAACAATCCGGCTTGTCAAGGATCTGCTGCAACAGCAGTGCTCTTGTCTTAATGCATCACATAGAACTCACGTAGTGCAAAGATCACAGTTCCACGTTGTATTTATTGGACGAACTTCAACAGTACAGTGATGAGAGGACTAGAGATTTTACTATTTAAGTGAGGTCAACTCAGAAAAGTATGTATTGTACTTAGTAAGCCGCTGAAGAAAAACCGGTTAGGTAGATAGTAGAAGCTCAAAAATTAAACTCAGTTCACACTTTCTACATTACTTTTTGTTTGCTGCAAAGTTCAGAATGTCTCATGGAAACGAAGAAAATCCAACCTTATTATGTTTTGCGATCCGTGCGTAATTTCTAGAACTGTTCTAGAAAAATTTTCAGGCGAGTGCACGTAGATCCGCTAGCTGCCGAATCCGTAGAACATTATCGAAAACAGAGTGAAATACTGAGCGACAGCACAGTTCTCTGTCGAAAGAAATTGTTCCGCAAGCACTGCTCAAAGTACGTCATAACTCAATCATATTGATCATTCAACATCGGCCAATATTGGCAGCAGTTATGACCAGACTTCTAGAGTCAGAAATTGAGAACATTAATTCACGGCGTCTTCAGAACGAGTTTACTAATTAGCACGGGGAAAAGCCAACTCAGTACGATGAGTGTCGATTTGGAATTAGGCGAACGAAGGAAAGACAAGGATCGTAGCAGCGATATCGAGGATGACAGAACATTTAATGGTGAGTACTTGATCTGCAGTTCACAAGAAAGAAATCCGTTTTTGCATTAATTGCTGGCTTAGATGACTTAACGGTGTTCAAAAGGATTACTAGCACCATCTACTGTTTTTGTTATGTAAATGTTAACCTCGGTTATTTACTACGAGTGGAGGTGCGTAGCGCAGAAGTAAGAAGTGCCCTGAAACACCCGTGGTCGTTGCCTAATCGCGAGTTACGGCTCAGCATACCTCCCATCCTTTCGGAGTCCGGAAATTGGTGCCAGACTTGTTTGGAAGAATAGCATCACCAACTTCACAGATAGGAAGGCCTCCGCAAGTCATTGTATGGAGTAGCTATGTGCTACTTTCAGACATACGGTCACTTCTTACGATGCTTGAATTCGAATGTCTTTCTCATCACTCAGCGATTGACTAACGCCAATGCTTTGTCGTTTTCTTACTTATTTCGGAACAGTTCTTCCATTCCGAATTCCGATCGAATCCGAATCCGAATTCCAATCCAGCAAAAACGAATGTGTTATTTTGATGCATCATCTCTTTCATAGATATCAAACACACTTTAGGCTTTGCCACATTTTGTTCCTTTTGTTTTGTAACTTCAGTGTGCTAATAGATTCCGAAATAATGTGGTCGAAACATAAATCACATAAATCACACAATGTATAACTTTTTATTTACTGTCTATTATTTTGTCATCGTAAGGTATTAGTTAAAATGCAGTCACGATGATGCTGAGATATTTGCAAAATTCAAACCCCCGTCAAATTCGAACCGCCGTTTACACTTTCCAGGGTCTCACGTACTACCAACTGCACTACTGCGCCTCTTAATTTGCTTTTCTCTCGGTCAGTTTTTTGCCTTAACGCTGCCATGAACTATAACCCGTTAACGGGAATCACTTGGGATCACAATTCAACATAGAACACAGTTAAGCTAAGGCTGCAGTCGAAATCACAGTGTGTAAGTTTTTATTTGGTGCATGTCATTTTTATCATGGTAGAGTATTATGCGGGTGATTCCGTTGACGGGTTATTGCAGATGGCACTGTTACAGTGAAAAAATTGGCCGAAAGAAAGAAAAATAATGGCCTCAGTGGTGGATTGGTTAACACGTGAATTTCCGGAAAAGATAATCACAGGTTCGAATCTGGCCTAGGACATGAGTTTTGTAAATATATTAGGGCTTTTTATTTACTGAGTACTCTTGTTTTCATGGGAGCGCATAATGTGAAATATAATCACAATGGTGCTGAGATATCTGCAAAACTCCGGACTACGGGTATCTGCTGTAGAGAAAGGACAGCTATTACCCTTTTCGGAGCTAACATGTTCGCGACTACACCATACGAGTCATTCGTTAGCCCTCCTCTCAGGTGTGTTTTATAGGTGTTATCAGCAATTAGCCGACAACTGGATTGATCTGGGAAGCACAGATTGGCAT